ACCTGTGATACCCCCCTGCTCCGACCATTCAGCTGTTGGTGAAGGGGGTACATGAAACTCTGGTAGCTCAGAGAGTTGTTCCTGCTCTCATTACTCTCTCCAGTGACCCTGAAATGTAAGTTTCCTGACTGCCTTATATCTAGCATCCCTCTTAATACTTAGGAAGAAATAACCATCAGTTCTGTTTCTTATAACTGAACAAAAATTTGTTTTTGAACAAATTTAACTTTTAAATCACAAATTAAAAGATTTATTGCAACACCTAGATACTGGATAAAACTGCTGAATAAACTTTAAATAGAAAACTTAAATCAGTGTCATTCAGTGTTTATGGTTTCTTTTATTTAATTATATTCTCAGGTTTGAAATTTGCTTACATCATTTCTTAGGAGAAAGGTGGATATTAATGTGTTCTGTAATGCTATCAGCTTCACTACTGCAAAATTAAATGTCATCTGCATTACTGAAATACAGAATGGTTTTGGCTGAATCTGATTTCTGATAGGCAACGATAGTACTTAATTTCCTGGACTTTCTGATGTGGTATTTCTTTCAAGCTATGGAGGGATGCTTTGCTAATCTCACTAACAAGTTGTTACTAATAAATGCTACAGCATGAGTAGAGTTTTAACCATTTTAATGTCTTGTGTGGGTGACTAAACCAAGAAAACCCCCAAGGGTCTGCCTGCCCATCTTCAGTCACAGCTAACCTAGTTCTTCAAGTTTACCAAACCGTTTTCTATTGCATGTTGACTGGTTTACAGCTGACTCTTCGAGGCATGGGTGAAGCATTAGTTGACAAGCGGGTTGCTCCGGCCCTTGTTACCTTGTCCAGTGATCCTGAATTGTGAGTTTCAGATTGAGACCTTGAGTTAATCCTGTCTTTTTCCTGATCTGCTTTTTTTTTTGTTTGTTTGTTTTGTCATTGCTAGAAACTAATGTAACTTAAAGTACTAATTTTTTAATTTGGATTTATTTTTTATTAATTTTATTCTTAATCTTTAACACATCTTAAAGACTCTATTTTTCTGTTGTAGTTCAGTAAGGATTGCAACAATTCCTGCTTTTGGGACCATCATGGAAACTGTAACTCAGAGAGAGGTAAAACACCTGTTCTCAGGCTGTTGGTTTTGTAGCATAAGAAGTGGGTGAATTTTTTTTAGAAATCCAGAAATTTGTTAAAGAACTTGGAGGAAGGAAAAAAAATGCAGCTTATAAATTATTTCTTCCTTTGTTATATCCTCTTCCAAAATGCTTTCCAGTTTTGCAGTGGTCTTGGAGGAGAGGAACAAACCAAACCTCTTGTAACTAATAAAAACATTTCCTTCTAAATACCAAACCAAGTATAAACAAATAAAACCAAATATGTAGAGGAGGAGGCCTGTGCTGGAAGATGGGAAGTCCCATGCTCAAATTGTTTTTTAAAACATTCTCCAATAGAGTTGAGAAATTCAAGCCCATTATTTCCAAATAGAATAGTCTTACCTTAAAATGCTATCCAAAAGATGTGGTAGGATTCATCTACCGATATGCTTTAGGATATCCTGCTTGGTTTCCAACTGCTTTAGAAGAGCATGACCCTCTTGTAGTTCCTGTCATCTGCTGATTTAACCCATTGTGTTCAAGATGGCATTAAAAGACATGATAGTGACATAACTGAGTTAATCCTCGAGGATAATATAGATATGCAATTCTTAGTAATAGTTCAGCATCCTGAAAAAGACACCCAGGATTCTGCTGTAAACAGGAGAAATACTGTATTTTGTTTTGTGTAAAAACTACAATCGAATTTCTTGTTAAAGTCCCTGCAGCTTTTTGCAGAGCTTGCATTCTTCCTGTAATTTCAACATCTTCTAAAAGAATGTGTTTGAGGAAATGTGAGTAAGAAGTCAGTGATGACTCACAAGTACTTGGACGATGGATAAGTTACAATTTTGCAGCTTGGAATGCATGCCTATAATCAGTTTGGGAAGAATACTGTTTTGTTACCACACAAAAATTACTGTATCCATTGCACTGATTATAATAAGCCTTAGAGTACAGAGGTGATATTGCCTTCCAAAATGTATCAGAAAATGTTATTTTTACAACTTTGAATGCAAATAAATACTTACGTCATCTTAGATGTATTTGTATTTTCAGTTTTTTCTAGCCTTTTAGTTGAAGAAATCTTATTAATTCCATTGGTTTTATGATGCTTATCTTGCATCTTTGTCCTCTGGAACTTTTTTCAGCATATTGAGGTATTACCAAAAAAATCAAGTGAATTCAGCTCTACTTAAACAGGAAAACTCCAACGATACTAATAGTAAGAGTGAAATATTAATAGCAGGTAAAAAATGTGAGTATCAAAACCAGGAAACCTCAGAAGGAAAGATCAGCTATATGGGAGCACCTGTCTGTAGTTAAAGGTAGCTCAGACTAAGACACAGATAATAGTCTTTAAAATGTAGAGCTGCATTGAAGAGTTTGGAACATCCGGTCAGAAAAAAATTTGTAACTTAACAGAAGGTCTGAGGTGTATCCACTGAAATATGAAAGATTCTAAACATACTCTTGAATTAACCATCATGGCTTCTAGTATCTTTATTCTTTTGTGTACTTTTTATTTCTCTGGGAACATTTAAGCTTCTGGAAAGAGTAAAAATGCAGCTGGCATCTTTCCTGGAGGACCCTCAATATCAAGACCAACATTCTCTACACACAGAAATCATAAAAACATTTGGAAGAGTTGGACCTAATGCTGAGCCTAGATTTAGAGATGAATGTAAGTTGCATCAGTGGGAGGATGCAGCCTTCCTCTTTCTAAAAGCTAATAGTATGCTGGCTATATTCTTGTTTGTTTGTTTGTTTGTATTTGCAAAAAACTTGATGAAAACTTGTTTCCAGAATTTGATCTGTCCCAATATTTGAGACTTTGCTAATACAATTGTCATTTTACCTGACATTGCTGTGTCACTGGCACATGGTGATGAATGATTTCAGAGCCAGAGGGGACTGGTCACTATGCTGCAGAGCAAATTCAAAGTTGCAAAATGCCGTCTTTCCCCCTCCCCCCTCCATTGTTTCACCTCTCGCTGGTGTAATTGTTTGACCTGCTGCTGAATTTCAAGTGTTCAACACTTTCTAAATGAAAGTGTGGCACCAGTTAACAAAACAGCTGCTTTTTCACGGCCCTGAGATGTAAAGCAGGTAGAAGAGCCAAGTGATTGTTACACTGTCTTTAAAGATACTTAAAAATGAAACAAGAGGAGCTATCACACCTCCCACCTGTGGGTGTTTAGTTTAACAGGCTATAAACTCCTTAGGCTTCCTCAGTAGTCAGTGAAGATTTGTCATGATATGCATATCACTGTCAGTAGTTTATCATCTGTATTTGTTAAATAGAATCATATTTTAGACAGCTTTAGCAGCAAGAGAGTAATTACGTTGCAAAATATTTTCTGTAAACTGTTACTATTTCAAATGTACTCTGAGGTACCATTTTCTGTTAGGTTGTGTTACCACAGTTTTGTTTTGAGTTTGAGCTGATCAGTTAATCTGCAAGGACAGTCCCATCAAAAGCCATTATTTGCAGTTCTTATTCCACAGTGATGCGTGCTGCTTCAAATGCCTGTGATTTCCACTTAGGAACCGTTTCATGCTAAGCGTGTCTGTAGAAAGAAATTTGAAATACTTATTCCAGTATTTCCTTTTACAGTTGTTATTCCACACTTGCTCAAGTTAGCCTTGGTTAACAACCAGCAGTCCGTGGATTCGAAGAGATTGGATATCGCTACTCACCTGTTTGAAGCTTACAGTGCTCTTTCCTGTTGTTGTATCCTTTTTTAGGAAAAGTTTAGTTCTTAATTCTTTGGTGGGAGGAGAAGATTAATACTTGAGAAATAACTAAGTTTGTCTTTGAATGTGTGATGTAAAACATGATCTGCTCAGTGTAAAGAAGGGGTTTTCACAGATGAATGTGCTGGGTTGACCTTGACTGGAGGCCGGGTGCCTACCAACCTGCTCTATTAATCCCTTCCTCAGCAGGACAGGGTAGGGAGAAAAGAAGGTGGAAAAAAACTCATGTGTCAAGATAAAGTCAGTTTAATAAAGCAAAAGCAATGTTCGCACTTGGAAGCAAAGGAAAACAAGCTTTATTCACCACTTCCAGGAAGCAGGGCCTCAAGTTCATGTAGTGGTTGTTATAGAAGACAAATGCCGTAATAATGAATGTCCCTGCTCCTCCTCCTTTCTCTTAGCTCTTACTGTTGAGCAGACATTATATGGTATGGAATATCCCTTTGGTCAGTTTGGGGCAGCTGTACTGGCTGTGTCCCCTCACCAGATCTTGCCCACCCCCACCCTCTAATGGTGACGGGGCAATGTTGGAGAGACAACATTGATGCTGTGCGAGCACTGCTCAGCAGCAGCCAAACAGAGGTGTGTTATCAGCACCTTTCTAGCTACCACTACAAAGCACAGCATATCAGGGCTGCTTTGTGGAAAATTAACTCCATCTCAGGTAGGCCCAACACAGTGGAACTGATAGATACTTAAAAAAACCCCACAAAACCCAAAAAAAAAACCCCAGACCAGAGCCCTTGATCTTAAACAGTAAATTGGGGGGAAAAAAATCTGAAAAGAGTAGTACGGATGTATGAAATATATGAAGCTAAATATGTTTAAGATATTTTTTTCTTTTTTGTTAGTCATGAAGTGCTAAATGCTGTTGTTTTCTTGGGTTTTGCTGCTGTAGCTTGTCCCTATGTTCAGTAGAACATTAACAGAAGACAAAGAAAATAAAAAAATGTGTAATTTCAGAGCACAATCCTTATTATGCCTTAACAACCTGGGGTTTAGTTATTTCAGAGGATCTAATGGTCAATCACTTTTTACCAGGACTTAAGTGTTTACGAACTGATATGGAACATCTCTCGCCAGAGCATGAGGTGAGCAGCTATGTTTACTAACCGAGTATGAGATGCAGGTGGCGGCAAAAGTTGAAACATAATGGTATTTCAAACCAAAAGGTAAGGAGAGCTTACTTGTAAGTGCTATCAAAGCATAGCGCTGGGGGAGGAGCGTGTGTCTTTGTAAGTCAACTGTCAGAAATGCATGTAGAAACACAGATCTTAGATGTACAAAAATGTGGAAGTGTTCCAATGGACAGGTAGAAATGCTAAGTAACAAAAATTATGGCTGCTGTGCTAAGAAATCTTGGCTTTCTTTTGATACAGGAAGAAAGCTTGCTTTTTCACTGGGATTCTGAATGCATTTCTCTTGTACCTCTGTACTCTTCACTACTTACATAATATTTTACGCAAATAAAGGGCAGCAAATTGAGCAGTAGGAGTTCTAGTCCTGTTACTCATACACAGGTTTGAATGCTGCTTTCTGAAACATTCAAGGATGTGCAACACCTGCTACCCAGACCGCTTCAAATATCAGATCTGCAGACTGGGCTACATCTTACCAGTGTAATAAATGATTTCAAATGGTATTTTGTGCTGCAGCTGTCTTACGGGGATTTGACAGAAACCAGCTTTTTTATGTATAAAAATCCATTTTAAAATAGTTATCGCTTGGTAGTAACTCTTAGTGACTAATCTGTATTTTGGAGATTGAAATTAGGTTATGTCCTTGTATTTTATTCAAGTTTTGGTAAGGCACTACTAATTTCAGTTGCTTGTAGCTTTGACATTTTAAGTTTAGTGTCTCAAAGCACTTAGCTTTCTCCTGAGCTGTGAGTAGAGAAAGCTGCCATTCATGAAGTGAGTATGTTTATAGTTCCACACTCTGCATTGCAACTGCTTTGCTTCAGTGTTTCAAATGCTTTTGTTTTAATGTGTTAAAACAGTATGGTTATGCGCAGAGTTATATATCTGTGCAATGAATGGTATGATTTCTTTCAAAGCCTGCTATTGGGAATCATTCCTTCATTTTTGGTGTGCTGGGAAAATGTAAAATGTCAGCGTGGGTGTGTTTTGAGTCTTAGATATTCTGCAGAAGCCTTTAACATTGCAGTTGCCTAAGTAAAGCAAAAAAGCCAAGATTCGCAGAAACCCTGGCAGACACCAGTGAAATGATACCAAGTTGGCTTTAACACTTCCTTTCCACTAAAAATTTGTCTCAGGATGCCATCACACTTTTTTCTTTCCTATTTCTTTCATGCATAGTGTTGGTGAAGATATGAATTTTAAAAGGTCCTTGAAAACTCTCAAAAGGCAAATAGAGGGAAGATGAATGTATGTTGACGTTAATTGCTAATAAATAAAAGTATTGTTTGAAAAAAGGAAGATAAGGAGTGAGTTTGCTTTGGATCTATTTTAAAAAGCCAGGGGAAACAGGAGGCAGTCTTGGACTCCCATAACTATTTCAAAAACATTTTCTTCCTTTAAATATTTTGAATGATTTTGTTGTTTCTAGCCATAAGGCATTATCAGATAGCTGGAATTTAAATGCACTTGAAAAGCAACAGAGAGTCTCTTTAAATAGTTCTGTTAATGTCAGAATTAGTTGTGGAGTAGATTTTGTACAAAGTGTTAATGTAAAAGAAAATCACATATATTCTCTTCCTTATGTGTCATAGGTTATTTTAAGCTCCATGATAAAAGAGTGTGAACAGAAAGTGGAAAACAAGACCGTCCAAGAACCACAGGGGTAAGACTTCAACTTCTCTTTTTATTTTTTTTTTTTTCTTTTTTTTTCACTGTGCCTCCTGAGTTACGTTCTGCAGAGTGTAATCCATAATGGTGTCTGAGGCTTGTGACCAGAAATCCAGCACTGACATACTCCGTATTTGAAAGAAGATTTTAGGAACTTCAGTTTGTGATTGTTTGTCTCCAGTGTAAAACACGGGACAATTTTAGTCATTGCAATGATACTCTTGTTTTCCCGTGTTACTTAATTCTTAATTGTTTATCCATTTAAAGCAGTAATTTAATTTCTGTCCTGAATCCAAGAAAGCAGGGAATGCTTGGCCTACATGCTTAGAGCAAAGGATGTGTCACACACCTTGCAACCCACTTTCATGGGGGTGCCCTGCAGGCTGAAAGAGTTGCTCTGGTCATAGTAATGACCAGCTCCAGGCTGCTGGTTTTGCTTGCATGTGGCTAGCGTACACCAAGAACAGGTTTTTTCCAGTGTATAAAGTGACCTCATGTAGTGTGTGTTAGTTTTACCAAGGTCATCTTCCCTGTACTATGGAGCCAGCATAGTAGGTACCCAGTAGGTAGTTGTGATAAGCCAGAATTAGCAGCCAGATTCTTTGCAGATCTGATGCTAAGCCATTGCTGTAGACTCACCAACCAACCTGTGCAAGGACATCCCTCCACATATGACTTAACATTTTGCCTAACAAATTGATATATTAGAATCAGTTGCCTACATGGTCATCTACTACTTTGTCAATATTTTCCCTGTAGGGGATTTATGGACTTTTTTTTTTTAAAAAAAATTCTGCAGACTAACCAATACTCTTCTTTGATTTTCATTTTCATACTTCGTGCAATAAAAAAGCCACTGCCTCAGACTTTGACTATGTAAAGAAAAAAAATAATAGCAGTGTATCTGCCTAAATATATAGGACTTTTATGTCTGATAAACATTTATCATTTCTCAAGCAACTACTTGACAGCCTTTTAGGAGAGAGCATTAGAAAATATGAAATTGATTTCCTTCTCAGGCAAGCATATTCCCAGAGTGCAGCAAATATAGATGATACCAAGCTGGTCTCATTAAACACCACCATTAATCTTAACCTGAAGGGTTTTTGATTTTCTTACCTGTATTAACTGAACTGTGAAACCAAAGGTTATGAAACAAAATTCCTTGGCTGAGCTGTCCTAATTCTCAAGTTGGACAGGAGTTTTAACTTTTAATGTGTGCTTTTGCCTCTCAAATGTGTTAACCTCTTTAGTTCATCAAAGCTGTTCTCTGCATGGCTAGAGTTTGAGTGATCAGCTTTTCTTTTATGTAGGGTTTAGACTTACCTTGCTTTAGCCTGTATCAGTGCAAGACATGTCAACCTAAATGTAAGAGGTCTGTATTACTTAAAATCCCTCTAACAAAACTATTACAAAATCACAGTTAGTCCTATTAAGCACTTGCAGAAACAGATAAATGCAATCATGATTCAACATCCAGTGTGTTTTCTTTTAGAATGCATCTGCTGAAAACTGCAAGATTTGAAAAGGATGTCTTTGAAATGTGTTGCTTTGTTTTTTAATTAGCCTTTGCCTTTCTTATTCAAAGCCAGGCTGTGGTTGCAGTCTTTTACTGTACAAAATTAACATGAAATATTTTGCCACTGAAGAAATGACCTTTTCATATACATGAATGTGGTTTGTTTTATTTTTTTTCCTTGCTAAGCCCTTGTAAATTTCGGTTCCTAATTTCAGTGTTAAATATATATTTGATGAAGGATTTAAAGGCAACTAGGACATAAATTGCTGAATTTTAACAACACGAGAATGCATGCACAAAACCCCCAAGACTCTGCAAAAGCAATCATAAGGTGCTGCTGGTCATCTTGTCTTTGCCCCTTACTGATAGAAAAGGTTGGTCAAATAATACAGGGTCACAGAAATAGGTTTTAAAAAAAGATTAAACTTGGTCTTTTTAAATACTGATAACCACTTTCGTTAAACATTTTATGTAACAGTTAACAGTTTTATGCTTTATGATACTCTTCAGATGTGCTATGTGTACCTAAGGCCCCTTCAAAGATCTAGGTCCTGCAGAAGACAGGGAGTCAATTCAGCTTAAAAAGTAGAAGGGATGTGGAATACATTTGAGAGGATATATTTCTGATACAATTAAGCTATCTGCAAATCCACAAGCAGCTTTAGTGAGAAGCTTCCCTTTTGGTCTTTCAAGTACACTGTTTAAAGATAACCAGTATTCATTACTTTTTTTTTGTGGTATGAAATAGGAAAAAGTACTGAATGCATCCCTGCTACCTTTGAAGAAATCCTTAAAATTCTGTTGACACAGTTTGGAGTTAACTAATTTGACCTGCCTTGATGCAGAAGTGTCTGACAGAACCGTTTATAACCTTGCAGACTGAAAAGTCAGTTCCTGGAAGCTGGCCTGTGCCAGTAAGACAGATCTTCTGCTCTTAGGTATAATTTTGAAATGCAGAGTCCATGTTGAGCTCACAAGGGAGAATTTCACTGGTAATGTTTTGTAAAATTGGTCCTGTCTAATGTTGAAAAATGTTTGCCATTTTAACTACAAATATAGGAAGTATGGAATATTTATTAATATTCCTGCTATCATACTTTTGCCTGTTGCACGCTATCTTAAGACAGATTACTTGTACTATGCTGAACAGTTACATATATCTAAAATAGAGCTCATTCATACATTTCAAATTTAAAAATCAGTTTTGCAGCATTTGGATAATTTAGTAACATGTTGTTCAAAGTTGTAGCATCTGGTAGGCTCAGCATTGATTGGGTTGCTCCTTCTAGTCCAGTTTCTGGGGAAAATTGTGGGCTCTCCATTGTTTTTTCTAGTTCATACAAAGTAAGAACATGCAAGCAAAGGTTGTAGGAGTCACATTCAGGCCAACCAGGAGAAAGCTCTTTATGCAACAAGGGCTAATGACCTAGTAGGACTCAGTGCCCCAGAGTGGGATTTACAAGAAGTTTACAAGGGGAACGAGAGAAACCTGAACAAATAATGTTAAATAAAGATTCATTGGGAGTTTCTAGATGACAGTCCACACCAAATTTAAACTCTGCTCATGTGGAAATAGTTGGAAAATAAGAGAGTTACAAATTAAAAGAGAGAGGTCAATGTTTCGTACTTACCTTGCATTTACTCTTCCCTACGTATCTGCTGATGGTCACTGTTAGAAGCAAGATACTTGAGCTACGTAGGCCCTTGGTCTGACCTAGTACCATTGTTCTTATATTACTAAGTGTAAGGATTGACATTTCTTGTGAGAAGATAAAGCCAATCTTCCACAGAGGTATTTGTCACTAGGACAATTGCCCAGTAGCTAACAAGTGCTAATAACAAGTGCTAACTTCCAAAGGCAGTGAAAAGTAGTGTGCACAAAAATATTCTATGGTTTTCACTAGGACTGTGAGAACACAATAATCAATTTAACAGTGTATATTGGGGCTGGGTGGTCATGGTTTTTCAGTGCTTGATGAACTGGTCTTCTGTGATGTTAAAACCTCTAAAATGCAAGGACAGTTCAACTGCTTGTCAAATAACAGCAGAGTGTTCTTTTTTGTTTTGTGGTCTTATGTTGCTAATATCTTTACTTTCCTAGCTCAATGTCAATTGCAGCGAGCCTTGTGAGTGAAGACACAAAGACCAAGTTTTTGAACAAAATGGGCCAGCTGACTACATCAGGTGCAATGTTGGCTAATGTGTTTCAGAGGAAGAAGTAAGATGGGAAAAGGAACCCCCAGCTAACACTAAAATGGACCTCACAGAGACTGGTTCCTGTACTTGAAGTACTTGCCTTTTAATTTCTTCTGTCTTATGTTCTTGTAGTATAATTTTATTCTAACCTCCAAAGATATTTGCACTGCTTTTGAATATCGCTGTGTATCTGTTAATTTTGGGTTACCTGTGGTTGATATAAAACTGAAATCATAGTCTGTACCAAGTCCCTGTTCTGTGTTCTTGTCTTTCCAGCATAATTTTTTTTTTTTTTTTTTTTTATATAGTGGAAGGTTGTTTGGGTTTTGTTCTTTTTTATTTTCTGACAGGATATCAGCAAGTATCTGTATTATACATGGAGCTATTATGATGGTACTTAAAATAATGTAAATTTGAAGTCATTGTCATGAAGTAATAAAAGTGGAGATTACTTATGTATTTAAATTATGAAAGAGTAATGCAGATTTTTTTTATGATGTTTCTAAAAAGAAGAGGAAGAGCCACCAGCATTTGTCTGTGCTTCTAGGATTGTTTTTGTAAGTATTGTGCATCTTGAATCCAGAGGAATTGCAGTATCTAATGTATGAGACTGTTTGCACTGCATCAGTCTGCAGGGAACGTTCATGTTTCAGATGCTTTATGCTGACATTGTAAATGCTGTACAAAGTCCTTCAGATAAAATTCTCACATCTGTTTTGTTTTCTTGAGGGATGTTTTCATTTGTTGGGGTTTTTGTTTTATTTTAAAGCACTTTAACAGCCAGTCTACACATCCAGAGGCACATCCACTAAGTAAAGGAAAAACATGATATATTAATAAAAGTTAATAAATGTATAAGCTACTACACGGGGGTCCCAAAACAGTTCTGCAGGCAGAGTTATGCAGGAGAAAGAGTGCTTTCATCTTGCATTCGCTGTGCAGTTCTGTATACTGTGAAAACTAAAATTAAGATTTTGTTGTTGTTGTTGGGATTTAGCTTGAATCTTGGTTCAAATTTAACTTCAGTGTATTTGAAGTCGTTAACAGAGTTTGACATGCAGTTTCTTTAAAATGTTAGGTAGGCTGCATACACACTTCATAAAAATGACATTACAAGGAGTATCTTCAACAACTACCAAATACTTCTGTTAGCAAGGAAGCATTAACAACTAAATCCTTCTATTCTTACACAGCACTTTCTTTTTCTTTTCTCCCCTTCTTTATGTCAATGTAAGCTTCTGAAAGTAAACTTAAGTGCATGCATGAACTGGTGTGAGGTCACAAAATATGAAAGCTCAGGCATTCTCTGACATGATTCCATTCAATTGGAAGCATTAACATCTTCGAGGACAGGGGAAGCAAAAGGAGTGAGGGAAGAAAGTACTCGCTTCTGAAGTAGAATATGGATGGAGTAGCACTTCAGGTATTGCCCTTAGACAAAAGTAACAGAGAACTTGGGGCTGCTTCTAACTGCTTCATATCTGTGCCTGTTGGCTCTGCATATACAGTTGCCTGCCATGTTTGTGTTGTGACAGGGCCTGCTGCACACTTGCACACTGTCAGTCCCTTTACACTGCACTGATGAAACATGTTCTTGAGATTACAGACAGCTCCATTCCTTCGTGTTGCTTGTTACCATGAAAGTACACTTTTAGCAGACTGACTGTGAAATGGAGACATTCCTGAGGAATGGGAAGTGGTGATGTTCCTCTCTATTGTTCTGTTGTCAATAAAAGGTTTCGTATACCTGCCTTGTCTTGTTACTTCTAGTCTTCTCTGAAAAAGGTTATCACATCAAAACACCTGTTACAGGAGAGAAGTCTAATGTGCAGACATTATTTAGCTTGAAATTTGTTTATGTAGTAGATGGTAGACTTGTCATGTGGCTGCGTTGCCACTTTCATGCAGGGTCTCCTCCTCTTCCTTCTCTCTTCTATGTTCCAGAAGTCACAGTGTCAGAGAGACTTCTGTAGTCATGAGACCAAAATGGTTTCTTTATGGTTAAACTTCTACTTTCCAAAGCAGGGCAGCTTCCTGCAGGCTGCCTGTAAGAGTGGCTCCTAGCCCTCACTGAACCTCAACCAGGGTCTGGAAACCTGCTAACTGGTACAAGCCAAAAACTTGTGACAGCAATGTAGCTATGGTGATTGTGGGAGGAGACTCTTTAGTTTGTTGGTATAAATGTAGTATCTTTGCCCGGGTAGGTCCAGTCTCTCTAAGCCCTTGCAGAGTTTAGCTTTTGCTAGTCTGTATTTTACTTTATACCAGTTGATCCAAGGAAGAATTTGAGTGAGATTCCCAGGAAGACCAGCATGGTAACTACTGATGTGAAAAAAATTCTGTGTGGGCAACAAATGTACAGGTTGTCTTCAGGAGTTTTGCCTCCTACATTTCAGGTCTGTTTTTGTATTTGTTGGTTGCAGGACTTTTTTAAAATGTTTATTAACTTATCAGATAATTGACAGGCTTTCGAGAAGATTGCAAGAAGTTGCTCTGTGCTGCTTTTGGGAATGTTTGGGTGGGGTTTTTTTCTTCTTTTCCTCCTAGCTATGGCACTGTTCCCAATTCAGGATTGGGAAACAAAAGAGAGAAATTGGGAAAGAAAAGACTGGGAGAGAAAAGAGAATTTTTTTTTATTCCCCCCCCCTCCTATTACATAAAACAAGTGAACCTTTTGGGAGAAAATCCTTCATTAAAAGATGACAGCTGGATATCCAGCATGGGAAGCAAGTCGCCCCCAAAGGCTTATCTTCAATTGCTTCTGACTTTGCCTAAATAAGGATTCTGTAAAAAAGCAGGATGATGGCTTTATTAGCTCTGCCTTAACTTCTACAGCTTGTTTGCTGTAAATAGGGGATATGTTGAAGGTCTGCTGCTGCCCCTAGTGAAATTTCGGTGTCTTTATTTAAAAGACTGACTCTTGTGCTCTCAAGCAGAGATGATCAGTGAGCTAAATAGCTCATCAGCTGCCTGAATGAGTGTTCATGATTTAATTCTACAGATTAAACATAAGGCTGACTGATAAGTTCTGAAAGAAATTGTTTTCTAAAACATAAATGTGGCAAATTACTCTTTTCCCATCTTCTAATTGAGGTGAATAAAGGTAGCTCCTTAAGAAAAGATGCACATTCTTTTGTCAGTCTCTTCCCACTCTGTCTTTGCACTAAGAGGAGGAAAAAATGTTGCTATCGCTGTACATAAAAGTATATTCTCATTAGGAGAGCTAAAAGCAATGTTTGAACAGATTCAGAAACTGAGGAAGCTCACATTTGCAAATTAAACTTAAGATTGAAAGATGAAAAATCACCCATAGAAAAAAATCTGTTGTGAATAATGAGGAGTTTTTATAATATATTATGGAAATTCATTGCTACATATGGATGATGATTCAAAATGGTACAGAATGGTACAGAAAAAGCAGAAGCGTGGAATATTTCTGTTCTCTCTGTCGCTGTTGTGACAGTGTTAATGACATTTTCCTGTTCCAGGAGTAAGTGGCTGTACCTTTTACTGCAGTTCCTAAAGGTAGGTATCATGCTTTCGAAACATTTTGAGTAATTTCCCATGTGAAACTTACTGATGCTGGTGTTTAAATGAACCATGAAGTACCAGCGTGGAGCAGAAAATCTTTGATATGGTGGTCTAACAAGCATGGCATTAATCCTAGGTAGAATCACAGAATTTCTTGCATCAGATGTAAATGCTGATTTATTACAGGATTGCAGTATGGTGCCAGGCAATAAGGCTTCAAGGGGACTGGTTTGGTGGTTTGCTGTGAGTGCATTTGGCTCATGGTTCTAGCAAACATATTTGGATGTGTAGCTAATTTGGTTTAGACTATGAAATTGGTCAACAAAGGCTGTTGTTGGGTAAGTAGGCTATCCGGGTCCCTGATGTTAGTACCATATGCTAATATATCATGTGTTAACTAATCTAGATGAGTAACCATGAATGAGTAATCATTTTCCAGAGAAGCTGTTTCTGAAGTGTTTTGCTTTCAGGTTTAATGCTGGTCAGGTTTCATGTTTACAGGTAAGCTGCAAGAAAAGGTGGTTCTGCTTGTAGAGTTTGTAACAGGCAAGTCAGTGGCAAACAGCCTGTATCTTTGGAGGCACCTGCACTACATGCTGAGCTTGAGCTTCCATCTCACTTGCAATGTAGTGAAAGACTTCCTTGGACTGAAGATCTCTAGTTCCTAGAAACTTCGAGCATGAGCAGTTCTACTGCAGAAGTCTGTGACTTGAACAGGTGACTCGTGAGCTGGCGTAAAGGGCTGATGCTGTGACAATGGTTGGTCATTCTGGTTCCTTTCCCAGCACTGGTATCGCATGTGCTCCTCACCACATCCCTTATTCATCACATTTCAGGCTGGTCTGCACCCAAACCGTCAACTTTTCTATCCTACAGTGGCAGATACCTTTTTGTTCTACCATTTAAATACTGAATGTGTACAAACAGGGTTGTTTGCAGTGTATTTTGCAGTCGTGCTCTTGTGCTGCTGCTCCTTGCCCTACACTTCAGTGGAGATTTTTCCCATTCCCCTAAGCCTGAGAAACCTCTTCTGCCTCAGTTGCAGCTGAGGTGGAGGCAGGGCGATGGAGGCCT